GCATTGGTCCTGATTGTTTGTACAAAATGCGAACGTAATTGTAATACAAAGGGTTAAATGAAGCGGGAGGCTTTCTGAAAAACATCGGCTTTACAGACACGTGAATAACGATCTGAAGTGGAATGCTATACACAATCAGTAACTCAACCTACACCATGTACGAGGAACGTAGTTTTCTTTTCGCGCACAATAGCGCGCTTACGTACGCATTCGCAGCGCATGCATTCTGCATTGCCGATCTCAACAAAATTTCAGATGAACCCCGTTCTGTCCAATAACCTAACCAAAATATAAAAAAAAAGGTTTATATGGGACAGAATTATTCGGTCTAGTTCTGGCAGTACCCTGGAGCCTGGGGAGACATAGACCCTCTCAGCCGACACTGCCCACAAGTCCACAGAATGCTAGGCTAGACCATCTGCACCGGATATCCTCCGAAGCCCGCGACAGCCGCCGCGGAGCGCGCCCATTTGATCCGAAAATGCTGCCGCTGCTTGAAAACAAATTTCCGACACGTGCCCCTATCGGTTAAAGCCGTTAAGCGCGTGTAACTCGGTCCAATTTGCAGCCAGTTGTGGGCATTCCAGCAAGCCTTTCGAATATCGCACGTAGGGCGAGCATCACAATACAACCATATGCTCGTACTTGTTGGTTCTGCGCTCCCGCGCGCGGTCTTTTCGCTGTCTAGAAAACACCATAATCTCTACCTTTTCCTGGGTTCACCTGCCCGTGACATAATTTGGAGTTATCGCGACCATAAGATGGCGCAACGAGGATCCCATCGCTACACATCATTTTCCAGTCGTTTTTTTTTAAATCGCGTTGGCTCACTGACCTAGAACTGCCTGCGCGTGGAGATCCACACGCCACGCTAACTTACTTCAGTGCTACGGCAACGAGTGTTAATTAACGTTCACAATCATAGCTCTGAACGGCTAGGATTACGCGCTATCGCAATAATATGGCGACGAGCAGATGTTGGTGGGGTTTGCTGTGTTACAATTATTCATGTGATTATTACGTCGTCATTGTTCTGTATATATAGACTGAATCATTTATCTATTTACATCAACATAGAGAGCGTATTATCTCCGCATATATTATTATTAAACAACCAGTATGTATCCGCTGCACTGCCGCTCAGCTTACATGAAGCCCACTAACGCATACATAAATACAATTCATAATCAAAACTCTGTACAACAACAGTGTAGAAGTAGAAGGTCGTTGACACCTTTATAATATTTTATGCAACTTGCAAAGTTGCAAATAACAGCAGCTCAATGCAGCTGACTGTTTCATTGTATTCCGGTAAAAATTACTCGAGTGCTCGCTGCAGCTAGATTCCATGCGCCGGCCCTATGCATCGCGCGCACTGACCATAACTGCAAGCGCCTGCATATGTCTGTAGGACGTTCCCGCGGTCGCGCGCGCCTTCCAACACCTGCGCGCAAGATCTGCCGTTATAGCCGCTTGGGATCAACACCTCCTTCCGGCAACCCTTCTCTAGATCCCGTCTCATCTGTTGCAAGTAGCTTCAATTACTAGCGACTACTACTACATACTACTACTACACTCACTACTACTACTCACTCTACTACTACTTCTACTACTACTCATACGACTACTACTACTACTACTACTACTACTACTACTACTCACTACCATACTACTATAGTACTACTACTAGCTACTACTACTAGTTACTAGTACTAGCTAGCAGAAGCTAAGATAACGCCGCAAATCCACTTTACGCACCTTCTTAGAATCTTAGTATCAAAGAAGTGATGCCCCAATTTCTGTGTACTCATCAACTTTACTTGAATGTTGAAGTTGTCAACTAATACTAATATAATATCACATACTACTACTACATACTCATAATATCTCATCTAATAACTATATTGCAGTCTCGTATGTATGTATCTATCTATCTATCTATCTAGGTATCTTCCCATACGGCCAAACCGCCCAAGGATCTGGATGCAATTTTCACAGGGCCATCTCTTATACCCCGGCATTGTATCGTAGCTGAAAAAAAAACCTGTCAAACCGTCAAACTCGCCGAAAATCGTGACACAAACCCCTACAATTCGGCAATCTTCACACAATGTCAGCACAGCCTCATATGACTATTATTTTCTGCCCTCACCCTCATGATCTCATCAGCTGCTGTATATGCTGAAAACCGAAACGAATCGAAATTAAACAGAGCCATAACCACGACAGTTCAGAGCGTACTACTCACTCTCAGTTCCAGATCGGTACAGAGCCTACGATTCCAGAGAGAGAGAGAGAGAGAGAGAGAGAGAGAGAGAGAGAGAGAGAGAGAGAGAGAGAGAGATTCCAATGGTTGTTTATGAACTCGTGTGTCGAGAGTGCTCAATACTACCATGAGTAGAGCAAATATAGATAAAGTTATACGGACACGGTAGAAATTTTGGCTCTGTTTATTGCATACAGAACTGTTTCGTGTGGAGCGAAAGCTCCACACTCATCAGTGCCTAATACAGAGTGATCTATTTAGAACATCCCGAGCAGTATAAAAACATCATGCATAATGTGATCTATTGTTCGTATTCATGCGTGCGCGTTCTAAAGAAATACCATAGATACCAGATACTAATTAGCACGTCATTGTCGGTGACTGCTGCGCGTTGGTGCTAAACTGAATTCATCGTAAGAGTTCACATAATGTTCCTTAATAAAAATTTATCTTTATGTCTACATTTACTAACAAGTTCGTTTCTCTTATTCAGTGTAGCGGTCTCAGGTTTACACAATATGTAAAATTTCTCTGTTAAGCATAGGTTGCATTTCTTTGTAGTGTTCGAGTAGTGTGGCGCTTTGCTCAGTATCTTCCATTTAATCGCGTAGTCTAGGTTGCTGTAACAGGCACATGGCATTGTAAGAAACCATATTATATCTAATACCAAAAACTAAGTGCAAATTTAACCGAATTACCAGTACATATGTACGTATCCATAATACAACGGTTACGTAAAGCACACATCTTCTGGATTCGCAGCACTCGCTAGATACTGTTCTGTTAATTCACGGACGATATAGTGGACACATAAAATAACCGCTAGGATCGAGGTCGGATTACACTTGTGCGGGGCCTGTAGCATATGTCATGAAGGGGCCTTTAGAAAATAAAAAAAACACATAAATATGAAAACATACATTTAAGTTGAATAACATACTAAATCGAATACATTTGTAATAGATTTCTGACAAATAAACTATATGCGCATTGCTAATCCAGTAATGGCTAGGGGTTAGGGGTATATAGGCTTACTCCGAATTGAAGAGGTGGGGTCGTGGAGCTTGGCGGGATAGGAGTAGAGATTGGGTAGGCTTGGTTTCCCTGGCACGAGTGCAGGATATTACTTGTAAGGTTAAGAGGAAATTGATCATTCATACAGTTTGACCAACGATATTACGGCACCGTTGGGAGGAGAGCCATGCCGTACCAGCAGTTTTCCGGGCAATCAAATGTACATGCGAACCTGCTGCGCCGCTTATATATTGCATATATGTGTACGCTCACGTGCACGCACGCAGACGCACGCACTCGCACACGTATACGCACATACTATGTCACTTCGGAAAAAAACCCAGGAAAAACTAAGCAATGACAAAAAACGGCGTGAAAGCTTTGTTCCTTTCTCGGGCTTCCATTCACATTCTATTGCCCTCGCTGTTTACACCTTATACTTTTTAAGCCGGGATGACACTGTTTATTATGAGCCGTCTTAGTTGTTTCCCATAAAAATTACATCAGGGAATTGGTCATACTATTTGAGATCTACTCGCTACAGTCTGCGATCTGGAAATCAAATGTTAACTGAGCCACCAAATGTGAAAACGTTAGCTACACTTGGCGATCGTGCTTTTTCATCAGCTGCTCCAAAATTATGGAATAATCTACCTAGTCATATTAGATTTGAACAGTCGCTGGAATCTTTAAACGCCTAGTAAAAGCTCATCTATTTAACATTGCATTTAACACATAGGCTTAGACATTATATTTTTGGTATAAATTTGAGTTGAGTTCTATTTGTTAGAAAGTTATGGGATTGTCGTAATTTTAAAATCTATATTTTACAGTGTTGCAGCCCGCTATTTTATAATCAGCCTTTGTAATGCGCAAGTGAACATATTTGCGTGTAACTTGCGCAATATAAATCAATAAATATTAAATGTTAAATATTATAAACGGGTAAAGAAAGCTTGAGCCGGTTCATTTGTCGGGTTCACACGCACACGCACACGCACACGCACACGCACACGCACAGGCACACGCACACGCACACGGACACACA